GAAACATAGAGTTTACCTTTTGTTGATCTGATATAAATGTCCACCCATGCTCATGAATTGGTCCAAGATCATCAATAAGAATTTGTAGAAACCAGCACCATGTATCTTTATTTTCAATTTCAACAGCAGCATAGGCTATTGGATACATATTGTCATTGGCATCAATGCCAACAGCTGCTAGTAGTTGACCTGTAACCATGTTGTATATTTCTTAAATAAATTGAAATCATGCTTTCAAATTTTAATCATTCAAGGTTGAGAAAAAGAAAAAGTGTATTTACCTTTAAAAGCTCCTTTAAGATGGCAGCCATCAACTCCAATCACTGGCCTGCACCCAGCTTTAAATCCCTTTTTGCAAGCATCAAGGCAAACATAAAGTCTCTGAAAGAATGGAGGATTTGCATGCACTTTCATAGTACTTCCAACATTGGTTTGTATAACTTCTTCACAATATTCCCAAACCTTACCATATTGCTCTGCAATTGACCCTCTTATCAATTCTAAGGCTTCGTGTCTTGCCCTGAAACACTGATCTAAGGATACCTCCAATTCCATCTCCCTCTTAATTACGGTTTGCAAAGTTTTTGCATCTGTTCGTGGATCATCTCTAAACCTATCAATGTATTTTTCAGCCATGAGTTTGAAGGTGAAATGTTTATTTCTCCATACTCGACTACATGTATGCTCGTCAACAAGTACTTTGATTTGCCAAGTGGTGTCATTTTGCATTTGACTAGCATGCAATCTCCAAGGGCAAGGTTTTGCACACAAAGCTGTAACTCTTCTTCGGTCATTCTTTTTTAAACCAATGTCGTAACCACCAAGAATTGAGTATCGCTTCACTGCTTTTTTTAAAATTTCACGATTTGCAAACCTCATTCTAATCTTCAAACTAGGGTTTTCCATATCTGTGCTTGCATTAAACTCAGGATCCCTCTCACTAGATTGTTCCTCATCATCTGAATTTACAGGGCTATGTAATTCCTTTGTTGGCAGCTCTTTTTCTGTTGGGAGATTCTCAGTAGCTAAGTTTTCTGGCAGAATTGTTTCGTCTACACGATCCCTCGTAATAGTTCCTGATAATGGCAAGTCCACATATTTATCAAATAGCAAATTATCATCTTCTATAGCAGCATCATTCTCACTGTCATAGAGCTCGTAATCAGAATCATCACTATCCGTTCCATGCTCGTAATGAAAACCATTAGTGCACTGCCCACTCTCTTGTACAAAAGTTTCATATGGACCATGACCTTCCTCACCAGCAATTACAATATCATTCACACCAACCCGCTCCTCATTGTTCACTTCATCAGGGTGTGAATAAGTTGCTTGAGAGAATAATTGTACTGGTACTTGAGAGAACACATCATCTAGTATCTCATCGAATACATTGGAATAATTTGATGTTTGATCTTGAGGGGGTTCTGTAGCTATATATGGTGTATCAACATCATGCTCTACATAAATAGTCATCTCCCTTGATCTAGGTATAAGCTTCACCATGTCCGTTATGTCATTGTCAGAAACTAGTGGATGCAAACCATGTTTGGGCTCCTCTCCGAGTTTAGTATAATGGTATTTCTTCACATTTGTATATCCAACCTCTTCCATCATGTACTTCAGTTCAATCGTTGACAACAAATCAGGATCCACATTGTCAAAGTACACTGTCTTACCACCGAAATATGTATGCTTGGGCGATATCATCAATTGCCCTCCACATATAAACTTCAGAGTTAACCTATCAGTACCTATAATTAAAATAAAATTGCATACTTTATCAATCAAATGGCAGTGCACTATATGACAATAAAGTTGCATACTTTAATCAATCAAATGCAAATTTCAAGGGTAACCGACAAGTGATGGAATGTGGAATCCAAAAAAGCAATAAGATTTGTTCTACTACTATTAAACAACTAATTGGCTTTTTGCCTTCTAGTTTGCACTGTTTGTTTCCTTTTTGTTGCCTTTTCAAAACCCTACACATAAACCCCTATATATACCACTACAAAGGAGACCGATTGGAAAAAAGAAAATAGAACCCATGATTCATCCAACGAAAAATCATCAACTCCAGCCTTTGAAGCATAATAAGGAGGAGACCTTCAAGCATAAAACCACACATTGTGGATACGATTACGAACAAACGATTTTCAAAATAGAACAATCACCTAAAGTTATCAAGATTGCAGCAATACCTGGGTATGTTGGTGGGATGTCTCCCTCAATTCTTCGCTTAGCCATTGATGTGGCTTTTCAAACACGAAACCTCTGGGTATGTTCGTGCTTTAGAATTGGGAACGGGTTTGATCTTGAGGGGGTTCTGTACCTAAGCTATTGGCATGCTACTAATTATGAAATGACCATCTTATCCTCAAATGAGACTATTACTAACGGAGGGATAACGGAAGTTTTAATTTTGGGTATAAATCCTAACAGACTTAGACCACAGGGGTTTAAATCCGAATTTTTTTACCACATGAGTTACCTTCCGAATACCTTATGACCACGAGGACTATTTATCCGATTAGGCCTTGTATTTATGATTGTTAAATTAAATAAATTAAACATAAAATATCAGATGAAATTAAACGAGGTCTGTGTTTATTATTCATCTATTTTTGTGGGTCAGCCCTAAGGAGTAAGGGGCGTGCGACCGCACATGGTCCCTAATTTTTAAGGGCCCTATATTTTTGTAACCTTTATAAGATACTACATACAGAAAAAACTGTGAACATAATTCATAATGTTGTCTTAGCGAAGTTGTTAAGTACTGGTACTTCAATTTAATTATGTACGGGTTTGACTCCCTATTGGGCATGTGAGGTGTAGCCATTCTGGGTCTATTCGAGCTACATTATTTTTTTCTTTTTTAATATATATATATATATATATATATATATTAATTTATTTCATTATAAAAGATAACTTTTGCTAATAAATCTATAATTAGGAATATCATAATAAATTAAAATTCTTAAAAATATGAAGATATAATCTTAAAAAAAAAAAAAAAAAAAAAACCCTTTCCTTATATGATCATTTAATCGAATACATATCATTCATTTATTATTTTGGTCACCGTTTAATGGTCATCTAATTTTCATTTCATTTGAAGACCATTTAGTCATCCTTATATCATCAAAAAGAAAATTATAGTACAAATTTTCTCACACCACTAAAGTGGAGGTCTGCAAGTGATGCTCACCCCCATTGATTACTGCTAGATTTATTTGGTTTAATTGATTTAAGACTTGAATTTCGAATTTTTAACTGATCTCAGGGTAATCAACCGGGTGGGGGTTAGAATCATCCTCACTTTAAGGCATGAAAAAAAATGCAATGAAAACTAACAGTTCATTATAAGATGGTACAAATGTCATAACCAATGATTTGTTTAACTAGTTGATAATAAAGAGCATAAATGGTTCTGATTATGATATTTGTAAGGTGATATGATAGGTACATAGCCACCACACATGCTTCATTTTTATTTATTTTCTTTTGCATTTATATCGGTTTATACATAAGAAAAAATTATAAAAGAAAATATAACAACCAAAGTTTAGACCATATAAGAGATTCCGTTTAAGTCTCACACAAGACCTTCAAAATCTCAGAACCGGCCCTACATATATGCAAATACTCAAATTTAAAGCTATACTAAAAGGGCTTATTTGGAACTATACTTAAATTTAGTGTTTTCTGATTACAAAAATTTCTTATGATCATGTTTCGTAGTGCTTGTAATAGATGCGTTTTTAGAATAATTGCTTTCTAAGAAGCATCTTTAAACGAGCATTTGTTTTTTAAGTCTAAAAAATGTAGTGGATTTGAGTTTTTGTTAACAATATCTTATACATATATTTTTATATTTAATTTTAAAAATTGAGTCTTGCATGGGGAGAAAACATTAGAGATAAAAGACACTTTCGAGTTTTGACAGTTTTAATATGTGCATTTAAGATTATTAGACTCACAACTCAAATATCTTTCTTGGATAAATAATATTTTTCTTTGTTGGCATTAGCTCCACCTCTCAGCAGTTTGGATGTTGTTTGTACCATATAATATCGATCTTGAAATCACTAAGTACCGATCAACTAAGAAGCCTCGTGACCCCTTCGAAGGGTCCCTGTTGAGGCACCATGCCGAAGCACACGAGCCACCTCAAACAAATGAGCTCTTCATTCCTCCAACTTGGAGCTCACTTGCTCAAGGACGCGTGGCAACAATACAACAACGTTCCTAGAGTCTCACATCGATCACAAACAAAAATGAGAGACTCTCCTCACCTATAAATGGAGACTCCTCTCCCACAATTAAGCTCACTTGGATCAATGGACCCATAATTCAGGCTTAGTCCTTCATGCATGCTTATACATACCATTGTATTATGTACACACTACATTATTAATGAAAACTCCTCTAACCATGTGGACGTACCCCACTTAAGGCGAACCACATACATTTGTGTCTAATTTACCCTTATCTCTTTACATATTATCTCTACATAATGACATAAGCACCATCGCGTAAGTCACTTCACCACACTTTACGTTGACTTAAGGTCCACTCAATTTTGTGCATCAACATACACATATATTTGATATAAAATTGTAAGTCTAAACTTTCCAGTGCATCGAAGATGCTCTAAATTCTTATACTTGGCCTAAAAAGGGTGGGTTTAAATTTTTCTGTTTTCTCCTCTAATGCACATACTTCAATCTTAATTCAAGAATATTTTTAGTTGTTAATGACAATGCAGATGCTCACTAATTGTTCATGTTCATGCAAATTAAGAAAATTCTTCATTAGTATTCAGCTTATACATGTACTTCTATTCGGACACAACGAAATTTTAAACTATTTTAACATATAGAAAAGAAGATTTTGCAATTTGAGTTCTGTAAAGCGAACACAGTACTTTGATTCACTCACGTATGCAGCTATACATATTTCAAAAACTAGATGCACAAACATATAGAAAAGAAGATTAGCAATTTAAGTCCCATAAAGTGAACAAACTACATTGATCAACTGTTCTCTCACGTATGCAACTATACATATTTCAAAAACTAGATGCACTAACATATAGAAAAGAAGATTAGCAATTTAAGTCCCATATAGTGAACAAACTACATTCAATTGTTCACTCACGAGTCACGTATGCAACCATAGATATTTAAAAAACTAGATGCACTAACATATAGAAAAGCAGATTAGCAATTTAAGTCTTATAAAGTGAACACACTACTTTGATCAACTGTTCACTCACGTATATGCAAGTATACATATTTCAAAAACTAGATGCACTCCCAAATACAAAGTCAAAAGTCAGTAAGTCAACAACGGTCATCACACGCTTGAATAGGAGGGCCAAGATATGGCGCTCCAGCAACAAACAGATCTTCGGGCATGTCCCTTTCCTCAAGCACCGCATAGCCTGCTGCTCCATAAATTGGACAGAGTAACAGATTAGCCATGACTATTTATATGAAATAAAAATTCTGTGATACTCTGGAATATATAATACTTTGGTTTTTAATCGTTAGATTTTAATCAAAGACCTAATAATTACAATATTCAAAATACCCGATACTTTAGATCAGTGTAAAAAAATCCCTGTATGAAATTTAGAACTGAATGAATCAGTGGTGGTAAATGGTAATTACAAATTACCAGGAAGAGATGGAATAGGGAAGTCGAAGAAGTAAGTAGAAGGCCTGCCGTGGTCGTCGGAGTAAGGTGGGGTCAATACATCCAAGATAGCACAGGGAGTTACTGCAGTAAAAGAATGAATGTTCCCGCCACTTCTTGGAAATAATACACGAGTCTCACATGGTGAGCTTATAACTCCATCAAAAACCTTGCCTGCCAATCCAACTGCATGCATCCACAGATTAATCAATTTTAACCACAATTTCCACTTTGTTTTTTCAACAAAATCCCAACACAAAATAATGAAATGAAAAATATTGAATTTATGAATATTATTGGCTCTTACATGTTCTGAAGCTAGAAGAAGTTTCCACTTTGATCCAATCGTAAGATTTAAAATAAACAGAACCGTAGAGGAGTTTGGTAAAGACTGTCATTCCAGGGTGATCATGAAGGGGAAGCGTAGCCCCAGCCGGGAAGCAAAACACGCCTATCTGCACATAACGTTCTTCTTACTTGTCAAAATTATATGTTATGTTATAAGACTGTCAAAATACATAATATATCAAATAGTCGGACAAGAGTATGTAAATTATTCGCTTACAGAGAAATGGTCACATTCATGAACATGAATGTAAGTGATTTGGGAGATGCCTTGCCCAGAAACCAATCCCTGGCCGCTCCTTGGACTCGAAGATGGAGATCTACCCGAACCAAATTCATCGATTCCGAAATCTATGGCTTCAAATGTGCCTGCATTTGATACAATTTTAAGCTCTAGTTTTTCATATAAAAACAAAGTGATCCTAACAAGCGAAGAATCATACCAAGGAGATTTTTCAGCCATTGGATTTGTCGGAAAGTTGGGAGTGCTTTCAGATCCGAAAAGACGACATTGCAGGCTTTATACAGCATTTGTATTTTGCTTTTCTCCAATATTATGCAGTCCATTGCTGTTCGTATTCATTCGTCGTAGAATGTCTGACACCTTTGATAAATAAAGAGATAAAAAGAGAGGACTTTTGAGCACAAACTTGCGTCATTAAACCAGGGGGCATGTTTAGACTTTTCACTTTTTTCAATGGGCTACGAGAAGCCCTTGGATTCAAGAAATTGTGCACACAACATTTGCCCTATGTATACATTTAAATATGGGCTGAGATTTTGGGCAAACTTCTCTTCTGGCTTTTAGCAAAACTAGGAAATACGTCACATATGGTGTAACTATCTAGTTTGGCCAGTTAGGTCGGTTGGCAGTGACACTTGAAGCACGTTTATACGACTATTTGCACATTCATACCTAGCTTGAACTTGATGTTCCATGGAACTTTTTTCTTGTTTTTTGAGTCGGTTCTAAAATCGCCACCCCCTAAGTTGTTCATATCCAAAAATCAAAACTCCAAACACAACACACTTTCATATTATTATTATTTTATTATTAGCTCATCTTCTCAACAGAGAATGCAAGTATTATATAAGGTCGCATAGGAAAGATTTGAAACTATTACAATAAAGGAGGAGAAATTTCAAACTCGTGATGCATTGGTGGAAACCCAACATCCGATCAACTAAGATATTAGACCACATGCATTGAAAGTCATCCATGACCAATTATGGCATACATTAAAAGTCACTCACCTTTGCATAATCAAACAAATTGATATAATTTTCATTTAATCTGTAAAAATTTTACACTATCGTGATCTTTATACGCCTTTTTTTTTAAGTACGGTCTTCAATTAGTTTTAGAGTCTCGTTCTATTAGACTCCACGGCCTAAGAAAATTGTGGTCACTTAAAGTTTGATTTTAATTTAATGGTGGAGTAGAAAGTACAACAACAAAAGTTAAATGCATCTACTACTAAATTAAGATCAAACAATGAGCAACCACATTTTGCTTTATCCACGGGGTCTAGGAGAACAAGACTATTGGTCTTTAACGTATTTATATGTTCATTCTCCATCGTGTTGAGGTCCCGTTTGGTGTTTTTATTTATTTATTATTTTTGTTCTTATAACAAAAAACTGCTTTATTTTGAAGATAAGCACAAAAAAAGTATTAGGTAAAGATAAAATATCTTGCTTATTTTAAAAACAATGATTTTTAGTTACCAGCTTTTAAAATCAACTTGGAGGTTACTTTTAAAAGCTACTTTTACAAAAAAGCGGAATTAAAATGTACCCATGTTGAATTAAAATGTACTCATGTTAAATCGAAGTGTACCAATGGATTTTAGGTACATTATGTACCAATATGTATGTTTTAGTAACTTTCTATTTTATTGTTTGTATCTACATTTTATATATGTGTATCATGTATTTGCCAATTGTTTACAGAAAAAACTTTTGCAAGTTGTCTTTTTCTTTTTTCTAAATTGCAAGTTGTCTTTTTCTTTTTTCTTTTTTTTTTTTTCAATTTACAAGTTGTCTTTTAGGTACATTTTACGAGTCAAGATAAAACACCAATGTTGTAGATGAGTATTGGAAGATTTCAGATTTTCATAAATTTATGAAACTAATGACAATTTTTAAAACTGTAAATGCACAGTAATAATGAAAAGAAAACGAGATAATTTTCCAAAAAGGAAGTAATGTGAAATGAAATTAATAATCCCTAAATTTATAGGAGAATGTTTAATCAAAATTTTAAAAGAAATAGATGCTTAGTTTAAGTAATTAAAAACAAGGCACCTATATCAAAACGTCTTTTTAAATTTGAGTGTAAAGATACAACAATGTTGGTTTAAAAAAAAAAATTTTTTATCACAAATGGTCCATGAACCCTCACCATCAAGATTGTCTCTGAAATTAAAAATCAATCAATTTAGTTCCTGAAAATAAGTGTCGCAAATCAATGTGGTCATTCCGTAACAATTTTGTTAATCCGTTAAATGCTGATGTGACACATAAATGGGCCCTACAAGATTTACAGGTTTGGATCACAAATTGAAATTGACCCACACTATTAAGATGGTCCCTGAAATTGATCCACACCATCAATATAGTCCCTGAAATTGAAAAACAATCAATGTAGTCCTTGAAAATAGGTCTCGCAAATCAATATGATCCTTTTACCACAATTCTGTAAAAAAAAAAAATTGTTATGTGCTGATGTGGGTTTAATAATTAATTAAAAAGTTCTCTAAATACCTTTTTGGACAATGAATTTTTTTTTTCTTATAATAGAGCCTACTCGGAAGAGAAATCCCTTCCATAAATTCTCAAAGGCACAAAGCTTAAATAAGGCCTAAAAGGGGGTGTGGAAATAGTTTTCAATCAACAATAGACGCATCTCGGTTATAACCTCATTATCTCAAGGCAGACCTCGTCGTTCTTTGCATCACCAGACCACCAGGGAAGCGCCGAACAAGCTCTCCAAGATTAAGGTTGTGAGGATGTTGATTGCCTAAATGTTAACGGTGATGTCCTAGTAGTCGTTGTTAATGGGCCAAGTTGTCACCAAAGGTGATCTCGATCCAGGTTTAATTCAGTAAAGGGTGTCGAAGTGTGTAAAGATGAGTGTATTGAGATTTTTTTTTAAAGAATAGAGAGTGAATGAGGTAGAGAAATGTGGACTAGGATCGAAGGTGATTGTAGGACTGGGTTTATGGGTTAACAATTTTTTTATTAACTATTAAATTATCAAGCCTAATTGTGATTTTTTTTTTTAAATTTAATTAGACTTTGTGACCCATTTATGTGTCATATCAGGACATAACATAATTTTTGATAGAATTGTGATGGAAGAACTACATTTATTTGAGACACTTACTTGCGGGACTACATAGATCAATTTTCAATTTTAGGGACTATTTTGATGTTGCGGGTCAATTTCAGGGACCATTTTGATGTCGTGGGTCCATTTCAAGGACCATTTGTGAGAAAAAGGGACTTATGGGGCTCATTTATGTGCCACATCAGCACTTAACATAATTTTAACAAAATTGGGATGGAAGGACAACATTGATTTGCAACAACTATTTTCAAGGACTACATTGATTGATTTTTAATTTCAGAGACCAACTTGATGGTGATAATCAATTTTAGGGACCATATAGATCAACCATTACAAATGTTATCAAGGTATAACAATTTCATTTATCAACCAGTGTTTAACAACCTAAAAGCATTTGGATTAAGTGGTTATCTCTCGTTTGGTGAGAGACTTTCTCTCTTCATGCGAGTGTTTCTTATTAGTTGGTGACTATTTTTCTTTTCATCCTTAATTTTGAAGCCGCCGATCCTAGCTCTGTCCAGGGTCGATGGCAGTCATTCATTTCTTTTTCTTCTTTCTTCTTCCCTTTCTTTCTCTATCAACTAGTTTTTTTCTCTAATTGGTTGGATAGGTCTCATCCATCACCCCTGCTTTCCTCTGATTTCACTGTCATTTGAGCCTAATCTCCCATTCCATCTACCTCTCTGATCAATCTACTTCATACCCTTCTTCATACAATTAATCCTTCATCGATCTCGTCCGAATCTACACACACAAATCTTCAACACGATTTTTCACAATCTCCCTAGAAGGTGCATAGAGCTTCGACTCGGGTGTTCACACCACCTCTTTCCGTCTCTTTGCCTTCGTTGGCACAGGCACTTACGGGTTGGTTCTTCTTGCGTGTTTCTTTCGATTTATGGTGGAGATTTCGATGGTGATCTTTGGAGTATGTATGTGTTTCTTCTTCATCCAGTTCAGGGACCATGTTTAGCCTGATCTCAGGCGTTTGTTGGGGGCGATGGTCTAAGATGATGGGTAGGAGGCGGTCTGGCGGCAATGGAAATTACAAGTTGTTAAGGTTTGTTTCAGTTTTTTTGGGGTTGGGCCTAGAACTTGGTTTTGGGTTTTTTGTTTTACTTTAGAGGTCCACTTTTGTGTTGTGTGGATATTATAACTGGGCCTCTCTCTTGTAATTATGTTGTCTTGGTAATGAACTTACAAGAAGGGATAAAATTAAGTGTCAATTGGTTTTGGTTTTTATTTTAATTTTTTTTATAGTACTATCGTCAATTGGTTTTAACAGTCTCGTTCTCTTAGACCGTACAAATGCCATCAAGGTTTAATGCATTTCTCGTACAAGGAGGGATAAAATTAAGCCAAATACAATTCGATGTAACATAATGACTTAGCAAGATAATCATTAGTCTTTATAAAAATATGAGAGAACTTAATACAATTAAGCCACTGGGCCACCCATAGTAGTTGTATATCAAACTCTTCATCTAAGTGAATTGAACTTGAAACAGCTACTCTACTGATTATTGCTAAAATATTTCAAGGTTGAAGAAATTTTTAATTCTCAAAAAGAAAAGAACAGACAACTTAGACTATTTCCAACTCTTGGTTAAAACCTAAAAATTTTAATCTATAAAATTTAGGTTTTAACCCATAAACAGTTTTTCTCCTCCAACCCTTTTGGTTAAATTTTTAGTCCAAGATTATTAAGAATGAATTTAGGAACATTTTGACCCAAAATATTTAGATTTCAATAAATATTGAAAAATCACTATACCGACACTATGAAACTTGTGGAACACAATAAAATATATGAAACACATGAAAGATTTTTTTTATATATAATTATTTTAGCTATTAGATTTAAATTTGGACTGTTAAATCTTTTTTCTAACTGTTGGATTTGATCATATTAGATTTAACCATTGGATTCAATGAATTTATAAATATAAAACTAAAAAAAATACACATATATGGTGGGTCCCACTAATCCGGGGGAAATTCTTAGCTAAATTTGCCCAAAAATGAGTTTTGGGTTAAAACTCATATTTGGCCTAAGGTTTGGAGCAAGTTACAATATGTTTAAAACCTAAAATTTTAGTTTTACTCCAAGGGTTGGAGTACGTCTTATTAAGATTAAAATTGACTAAAAGAAAAATTAATACTTTGTTTGGTTAACCTAAAAGAACAATGGAATTTAAATACGGAATTTGTTATTTCTAAACTCTCACTCATAGAAATTTGAAAATGACATATATATTTACATGGAATTTAAACTTGGGAATTGGAGGTTCCAAATTCCAAGTTTTTTTTTCCACACGAAAATTCTAAATTTCTATAATTATGAATCTAAA